GAAAAAGAATAATGGGGGCAGGATGGGCAGCAATTGGGAGATAGGGATTGATATATACACACTACTATATATAAAATAGATAACTAATAAGGACCTACTGTACAGCACAGGGAACTCTACTCAATACTCTGTAATGATCTATATGGGAAAAGAACCTAAAAGAATGGACGTATGTATATGTATAACTGATTCATTTTGCTGTACAGCAGAAACACACCATCGTAAATCAACTATACTCCAATAAAAATTACTAAAAAAACGAGAAAAAAGAAAAGAAAAAGAATGATGGCTCATACCTCCTTGATCTCCTTTCTACTTTTCTATTCTAACTTCACTTTAAAAATAGTTAATCCATCCTGTTTCTGACCATAATATATTATTCTTCAAGCTTGATTGTTCAAATACACCCACTATACCTATTTAATCTTATCAAGGTTTCCACTTCAGTGACCTTTCTGACTTTTCCCAACCCACCAGCCCTCTTCTTTCTTCATTTTCTTTCTTATTCAGCTCAGAGATTGACTCATTTTTGCCCCTCTGCCTCTTTTTATTGCTCCCATCTGCCCAAATCCTAAAACTGGCTATCAGCATCCTCCACGCCAGCACCTTAGCAGCTCAGTTCAACGGGAAAATTCCACACAATAGGGCAGATTTCTTTTTTTTTGGCCACGCCATGTGCCTTGTGGGAGCTTAGTTCCCCAACCAGGGATTGAGCCCAGGCTACGGCAGTGAGAACACAGAGTCCTAACCACTGGACCACCAGGGAATTCCAATAGGGCAGATGAAGGACTGTAAATATATCTCCAGCATCCCAAAGGGGCCCTTATAACTAAGGATAGCGAGTCTACTCGATTCCCCTTGTCAACTCACTCTCACCACCTTGGGTGTAAGGGGGTAGAGGTGAGTGAATGTATTTATACTCTGGTAGAGGGAAAAGTCTAATCATTGTCAAAAAACAAAAATAAAACAATTTAGTAACCAGTTTGATGTCCTTTACTGAAAGGAAAACAAACCATGAACTGGGGGAATACAGTGCCTTCGGAGCAGTGGAGCCCTCT